AATTGGGAAGCAACTGATGATGTATGGACTGAACATGCAAGATGGTTTCCTAAATGTGGATTTGTGAATCTTGTAAGGGGACAAGAATTTATTAAGCAATGCATTGACAGCAGGCCGTCTTTGGATGAATCAGTAAATATTATATAATTATATTTACGTCAAATATCTGATAAAAGTATCAAATTATTTTATATGTATATAGATTTTTGAAGGTGTGCCAGAAGATGAAAGCACAGATACAGCTGAAACACAACCTCTTGTGCCTTCATCAGAAATTACAGAAGCAACATTGAACGAGTTATTAGAGAGTCCACCAGCGATAGTAATATTTCACATATTTATTTGATTATTTCTAAAATTTATTTGTTACAATTATGAGTAACATTTTCTCTTAGGAAGCATTAGAAATTGGATTACATGTGGGTAGAGTAAAAAGAGCTTTAAAAAAGCGAATGGAAGAAAAAGGAACACCATATACAAATTCTGATGAACTTATAGAAGATGTTCTTTGTGATCAGGTTACGGAAGAAATGATAAGGTTAGTGACAAATAAAATTATTTCTTAACTATATAACCATTTTCGTCAGAATTAATTGTTTTTTTAAATCATATGCTAAGAGAGCCACCCAACAGTGGTGTAGAACAGTGTAATAGTGTCGAAAAAGACGAATCTAAAATATGTTCAACTGAAAATGAGAACTCTGCAGTATCTACTGACAAAGGTAAAAAACTAATAAAAAAATCTAATTCTGAAGAAATTAGTAAGTAATAAATATAAAAAAAAAGGATTGATCATAAAAATTATTAATTTCAGCTAAATCTATAACAAGTTTTATTATGTAATTTAATGAAAAGTACTATCTATTTTTTCAGCGGCTTTAGAAGAAGAAAATAGAAAATTGAAAGAAGCTCGTTTATGTAAAATTTGCATGGATAGAGAAACAACTATTGTATTTTTACCTTGTGGACACTTAGCAACATGTGTTTATTGTGCACCATCTCTTACACACTGCCTAATGTGTCGACAAGAAATTAAAGCCACTGTTCGTACATTTCTATCGTAAATCAAATAGTAAAATATTAGTGATCACGTTTTTAAATTTATTTATAATAAAGATATAAAGTAAAGATGTATATGTATAAAAATATATTTTTTGTAAATTTTATGAATATATCATTGTATTTATAATTTATAATTTAGACTTGTTAAATTAAGAGTACATATCAAAAAATAGTGAAAAAGAAACAAATTAACAGTATAGTATTTATTAAATAGAAAACTGTGTTACTACTTTTAATGGTTATAGTATTTGTCTAAATAAATAAAATTTTATATCTCCGTAAGTAGTTGATATTAATTTCAATTATATACTATAAATGAAATGAATATTTAATATTTAATATTTTCTATTGTACATTGCGTTGCTGCATATTATGTTACAAGATTGGATTACAGTGGTAAATATTAAAAGCCAATTTATGAAATTTGAAAACAGCTCTAGAATATAAATATCTTTTTCCGATTATAAGACCGATTATACTCGACTTAAAAGAACTTGTGAAAGGAATTTTCATGAAGAAATTTAAAAATAGTAATGACAGATTACATTGGACTATAAATGAATCTTATAGAAGAGAAAGTTTTTGAATTAAATACAAAATTAAATTGCAATAAAAGTTTTAAAGCATCTAGTAAGTATTAGATACATATTCTTTTACGTAATTAAACATTTATATTTTAAAACTTTAATTTTTGGTTAACCTGTAACATGTTCATAAATTTGATTCTCTCAGATTATCTTATACGACTTGTCTCCCATTTCTTTTGGAATTAACGTTCTACTTTGTCTATTACATTATATACATAAAATTTTTAAGTTGCAATAACAAAAAATACATACATTTATTATTTTAATTAATTATTGATCCATTATTTATATCTACATCAAAAATAAAATATTTTGCCTAATGTTTAGACAAAATCAAATCAGATCTTTATTTAATTAAGATCTAATTGAGATTCAGTACTTTTAATATAATTTAAAATTAAGATAAGCTATCTTGATTAGATTATATGACAATATAAATAATCCTTATAGCTGATACTGATACATCAATGTTATTACAACACTGATGTTGTTAAGTATATATATCTTCTGAAGGCAGGTAAGTACAAATTTTAACGCATACCTTTAAAACATTTCATTATAATAATTTTACAATAAATTTTATAATACTATAATAAATTATGTAAGTAATATTATATTTTTATTTATTATAAATTTATATATTTTATATTTTTATATTTTATAATATATTCGAATATATTAAATTTAAAAATGCTACAAATATTAGAGAAAATATTTTATATACAATACTATATTTCATGTAAATATAATATTTATACTTTTCCCGTAATATATTCAAATATAATAATTCAAAATATATTCAAAATATATTCAAAATATATTCAAAATATTCAATATATTTTGTATATATATAATTCAATATATTTTGTATATATAACAATGACATCTTCATTTTTGATTGACTCATTGTTAAAACACTGACTTAGCAAGCAACAAGATTATTCCAAGAACTGATTGTATTTCTTGAAATGTATCAGAGATAAATAGAAAGAAATCATGAAATATTTTGCAAATGCATCAGTTCTTTTCTCATAAACATATTCTTTCCATAACATGTATATTCATTTATTACATGATATGTTTTTTTACATGTATCTTATTTTAAATTTGATTTTACTACATAAAAATTCTATTATATATATAGATATAAACAAAGTTATAGAAATGTTGAAATGAAAATAAAAAAGTTTAAGCTAATTATATTTTATCAAAAACTTCACTAAATTATTAATTAAAAAACATTTCCAAAAATTGCATGAATTAATATGCAACTAAACACGTACAAAGAGAAAATTGTTTCTTTTTCTATGGCCATTATTATTACATATTACGCTTTGCTTAAATCAAATTTAGAACGAAGGTTAGAGGATTCATGAAAAAACGTCATTGCTATTTTCCAAGAATATATCAAAACATTTGAAAGAATTTGTATTTTTTGTTTGGAACTTCTATTTTGTTTTCTATATATATACTGAAAATTAATTGTATGTTATATATATACTGAAAATTAATTGTATGTATATTTAGTCGTTTCATTTAAAAGCTTGCATGAATATATATAAACGAATATATTTATTATAATAATAATAAAATTACGAAATATTGCATTAAATATATAATATATTTGTGTAAACTACGTCTTCTTGTATTATGTTGCAAGATCGGATTATGAAGATATTAAGATTCGATTTATGAGTCTCATCTCTTATCAAAAGGTATCAGTAATTCCATTCATCAAATATAAAACAGCTTGTTTATCGACAGATAAATGAATTGACTAATTGTTCTCAGAAAAATTCTTGCTTGTATACATAATATATCGATTGCCTTTTGGAATTAGATTTATTTAATTGTTGGAATATTAAGATTAAATTGTTTATCGGAAACAAGGTTGAACTACAGAAAAGAAAGAATATAAAAAAGAATGAAAGATAAATATCAAGTTACATTGTAGGAAGATTTATCTTAAGGAAAGTACAATAGAAAGAAAGAAAGATTATTTAGGAGAAAATCTACCTAATATTAAAAATTAACCGTTATATGATTATATCCAGTACCATTATATAGAAAAAATTAAATATTGAAAAATGTTTTTATAAAAATAGGTTAATGTAAAAAAGTTGTGTACAATGCAAAAAGTACAGTATACAATGCAGAAGAATCCTGAATTAATATGAAACTAGATATACTAAATATACTGAAGCATAAATATAAATTATTGCCAAGAATCTGTTCATTTAAATTTCGCGCTAGATGGTTGATGGTAACGTATTGTCCGCTTTCTGAATGTCGCGCATGCGTAGCATCGATAGTCAAATATCTAGCTGGACGTGGGACGTAAGACGTGGGTAGTGAGTCGAAACTGCCACGTTCAGTGTCAGATAGACGCTTTGAATGAGTGGTTCGATATTGTATGATAGTGTTATTTGTGAATTTGACGAGTTGACGAAGCCAAAACGTGACACCTAGCATTGGTATGTTACTTTCGTAATTCGTTTTTGTTTTAATACCGTACAAATATGATATTTCTCGATAAAAGTTCAGCTAGGAACTTTTTTTTGCTTGTGCGAAAACAAAAAACATAGTAACTCCTAATTATTGATGATTTACACACACATTCATAAAATTTATATAAATTATACAGTAATTTTATCTTTCGATTAAATACTTCAAATATGAAATAATATATGAATACTACGAATATATAGCAATCTTGAAAGGCAATTATTAACTTTTACTGCAAAGAAATGATGAGTTATATTTGTTGAGTCTATCTTTCTTGCATACCAACTTCCGTTGTGTTCTCCCTTTCCTACTCTTGATTACATTGTTGCCAAACGTCACAAAGTGAGACAGATGTGAAAGTTCAGACTAACTTTAAGATTTAATTCCGCGATATATATGTGTGTATCTTGTTTACGATTTATTTAATTTAATTTAGTAATATAATACAAAAAATTAATTAATTAGTTTTTAAATAATAAATTTTATTAAATTTTTTATAAATATGGTTTATCATTATCATTAAAAATTATATTATGTATCATTAAAAAATATATTTTGAAAAAGATTTGTTTTGAAGTTAAACAAATTAATAATTAATTCTGTTATATACATATATATCTATAAAACATATATGTATATATTTTTTAAATTATATATTTATATTATATACACACAATTTATTATATATTTCAATAATTTTAAACTTTTGAATATAAATAATGAAATCGTGTTACGAAGATTGAAAAATATGCGTCTGCAAATAAAAGAGAAATCCATTATAAATTTCCAATATAATACAATATAATACAGCGTACAAAAAGTATTTAACATGTTCTGTATAAAGTAATAGGATCAGAATATTATTGAATTAAGAGTCAAAATCTTGATTTTTTCTTTAGTCACATCATTTAATAAACGATATATGATAATGCTTATTATACATTACATATTCATTAGATAATTTCGGTTTCACATAAAAGTTTCAAAATGGCAAGAGAGACAAAGTGGTTAGATGCTTGTATTTTAACTGTACGTTTGATCAAATTTTCTAGCATAAGATTATAGTATTAAAAAATGAGAAACGTAAGTTGCTACGCCCTTGTCGATACATTTCATTCTCATGAGTATACAGTAGTGTAATGCAACAAGAGAAGTTAAAATACGGGCCATATAAGCGGCAACGCTGCACAGGGCGGTGAACAGAGCATGAGCCTGTGTAAACTCTAAGAGAGAGAGAGAGAAAGAGAGAGTGTCTCGGAAATTCTCGTTTGTGCATGATAGGTAGGCTGCGTCATTTCAACGTTATGCACTGACAAAAAGTCCATCATACTTCGTCATTGACGAATTATAACGACATTGCAATCATCTAGCAAGTTTCGAGTTCTTTCGCTTCTCCCGCTTCTTTTTGGTCAGATGCAAATGATACAAACGTATAACACAATCGTATGTTTTACATGACATTTATTCCAATATACATATTCCATATGTTTCACAATTCCATTGTATGTAATTGAAAGTAAATATTATTCGCTTTTATTAATAAAATAAAATTGCAATTATGTATGCGAAAATTGCAACTATGAAGAATAGAAATAAAATAATTAGAAGTAGAGAATAAAATTACAATCAATATGTTATTTACTAGTTGCATTTTTTTCAATAGGTTTGAAGACACTTTTAACCATAACTCGAATAAGATGACTGATATTATCAAGCACAGGGATTTAGGAAATGATTCGAACTTTAAGCCCTCAGCAAATACGCATTTATCATCACCAGTTGTTGTAACTACTAATATATACAATGATGAAGTAGATAATATTGATTATCGTTTCGAAGCAGCTAGACTTCAAAGTTTTGAAAATTGGCCTGTATCATACATTGAACCTGAAAAACTTGCAGCTGCAGGATTTTATTATACAGGCGATGATGATAAAGTAAGATGTTTTGAATGTCAGGTAGAGATAGGTCAATGGGTAGAAGGAGATATTCCCATGGTTGATCATCAGAGATGGTCTGCAAGATGCAGATTTATTCGCAAAATTAATTGTGGCAATGTGCCAATTGGAGTAGATCCCAGTTCAATTATACCACCAAGACCTAGAAGTAGGGATGTATGTGGTCCTTATGATCTTGAATATCGTCCTACGTCTGGTCCTGATAATCATAATTTTTCAACGGAATTACAACTACCAAGTACAGCTAAACTTGGCTGCTTAGGTATTGGAAGAACTAAGGGACCAGTGCATCCTGAATATGTTAGTTATGATGCTAGACTACGCACATTTGCATCATGGCCAAAATTTATGGCACAAACAAAGGAACAATTAGCAGGTGCAGGCTTTTATTATACTGGGAAAGGTGATCAAACTTTGTGTTATCACTGTGGAGGTGGTTTAAAAGATTGGGAACCAGATAATGATCCTTGGGAACAACATGCAAAATGGTTTTCTAAATGTTGTTATTTATTAATGGTTCAAGGGCAAGATTATGTAAATAAAATAACAGGCCAGCATGTATCTCCACCTTCTAAAGAAGTAAATACACAAACTTTATATTTTATGATATACACACTAATAATTCCATTACATATTTATTTATTTGTATTTATATATATTTCAGGAAACAATGCAAATGAATTTACCCAGTTGTATTAAAAAGGTACAACCTACAAACGTAGAAACTGAAAAGAAGGAGGAAACAGGAAGCAATTCAGGATCAAATTCTCAAGAAAATGATATTCAGAATATTGCCAACAATACTGAATCCATAAAAGAAAGTGTAGAAAATATATCAAATGTGAAAGCACAAAGTAGTAAATCCATGGATGATGCAAGGATGTGTAAAATTTGTTATAATGGAGAATTAGGGGTGGTATTTTTACCATGTGGACATATGGTTGCGTGTGTAAGATGTGCTCCTGGCATGACAACTTGTGCAGTATGCAGAGAACCTGTTACTATGACTGTACGAGCCTTTTTCTCATAGTATTCCAACAATCATAGATAAAAACATGTTGCATACATAAGTGATAGATTTATGATGATTCTGTACTTCGAATTTTACTTTTAATTATTTTTGCCAAACTGTTTCAATATAAACGGCTTATTATATTCCATCCAACGAGTCAAGTCAATGCTAATAAATAAAACATAATTTCAATTATGACCATATGAATTTTTTCCTTATTTAGATTGTTTGAAAGTAAAATTAGATATTTAATCTGGAATCTCTGAAATAAGATAGTTTATACTTGTCTAATATTTATATGATTTTAATCAAGTAGTTAGTCAAGAAAGACATATTTATATGTACAAATTATCGAACAGGTTAAGTCAGTATTTACAAACAAGTACATATTATTTTATGTTATTTTAATCGCTATATTAATGATATCTTTAAGATAATGAATATAGCAAAATGAATATAAATAATGCACTAAATAAAATTACAAAACAAATTCTAAATAATTAATGCTTTTTTATTCTTATATAAATTGCTAAATTGATATTCTGTTATTAATTAACTAGTATTAGCCAGTTAATAGTTAAATCACATGCTTTACATATAATCTTCAAAAATAATCTTCAAAAAAATTGGCTCCTTATTTTATAATATTTCGAAACTATAAATTCAGTTTCAATCACCTAAATCATATGTACCTGTTTATAAATACTGACTTAACCTGTTGGATAATTTGTACATGTAAATATGTCTCTCTCGACTAATTACTTGATTAAAATCATATAAATATTAGACAAGTATAAACTATTTTATTTCAGAGATTCCAGATTAAATATTTAATTTTATTTTCAAATCTAATAAGGAAAAAATTCATATGGTATATCGTAATTAAAAATCTCTAACTTTTTCTATATGGATATTATGAACATCAATATATTATTTTATATCATCGCCCAATTCTCCATATATTTAAAAGATTCCTTCTTAACATATACGTATATTAGGATTAAAAAACATGTATCATATACATTTGTAATAAGTATTTGGTGTAAGGTTTAGAAAATAATAAAGCATAGTACAATATAATTTTGGTTTTTGTAGTTTGTACATTTTCAATGATTAAAATATATAAATTAAATATTAGTTGATTGAAAGTAGTTAAATGTAAAATGCAAAATACAGAATCATTATAAGTACATTTTCTAGGTATACAATGAACTTTTGCCTACAATTCATCCATTTTCATTACAATTCATGCGATTTATGCGTTGACTAAAATAAATAATTTATATAAACATGCGAAATAATAAATAATAAATGCGAAAAAATTAGCTTGTATAAAAAAAGATTTTGTTATTTAAAAATACAAATGCGAATGAAAAGTACAAACAGATTTATTAATATTTCCAAAATTTTAATTATTATTACTGTTATTTATTCAAGTAAACTTATTTCACATGAAGTAAAATATCAGATAAGTAATGCATTTATTTGTTTTCAATAAAAATCATTAATCATATAAAATTACTAAATTTTATATAGTATTCTATTGTATTTTAAAATAATTTATATATCTTCATTATTAGTTTCCACTTATTGCAACCCTTTTTTAGATGTTTAATATGTTGTTTTTTTTGTTTTAATTTTTTTAATATATTACATGTATGTATTGTAAAAATAATTAAAATTCTAAAAGCGTTTTTTGTAAAATGTCAAAAATAAGATATAAATTTCATTGAATTATATACTAGATATACAATTTTTTGTAGTGACCGTATATAATAAAAGACTACACTATCTTTATTATCCTTTAATGACATATGAAAGCATCCCATTTGACAAATTTTTTCCATTAGATTCATTTAAAATTATTGTATATAGTTTGTATATTTTTCAATTTATAATTTATACTTTAATGCATTAATCTTTATGTAATATTTTTATATGTATATATTGCAATATAATTTTAATTCTTCATAATGAAATATACATACGCATGTCAGATATATATATACATATATCTAAAGAAATATACTCTAAGAGACGGAACATACTGTAAAATATATAATTATGATATGAATGAAAAATAAAATAATTATATAATTCTTGGCGTGATATCCCTACTTATTTAATGGAAAATACATGAAATGTGTTTTAAACAAATTTTAATTATCAAGATGACGCTGTGATTTTGATGTTAAAATGGCGACTACTATGTGACGTATAGACGTGTGGACTCTCATGGATGTTAATACTTTAAATTAAATTATTAAAAATTTCAATATTTTGTGTTCTTCGTAATTCATTATAATTAAAATTAATATCAGCGATGGGGGATCTATTTGATATCGCAAATCTAATTACAACTGTCGGTGTTGATAGAATAAAAATTAAGCCGGAACCTGGACTGCCAGAAAAATCTTCAAATGAGATTTTAACAGAATTATTTAGCACATTCGATGCTGCTGAAGAAGAAATAGTATCGTCAGAAAATGTTGATCAACAAGTTTCAAATCCAAATATTGAAGTTGAAAAATCTTCTAAATCTCAATTCAAGAAAAAAAAGACCAAGAAAAAACATAAGCATAAAGATAAAAAACATAAAAGAAAGTCGAAACGAAATTCTTCTGATAGTAATAGTGATCTTGAAAGTAATATTAAAATAATATTAATAACTAGAGAAATAGGTAAGTGTATATATATATACATATATAATTAAACATTATTTGTTTTTATAATAAATAGATATTAGGAAGAAAAGAAAACATAAAAAGAAAACAAAACGAAGACATGAAGATCATTCAAGTAAATCAACAGATTCAGATGAACCCAGAGCTAAAATTTCAAAACTTGATACATGCAACAATGTAAAAAAGAAAAATAATAAAGATAATGATTCGGAAAAAAAAGATGTAGAAAAGTCAGAAAGTTTTGAGAAATTGATAATTAAAAAAAATCCAGAATTGGAAAATATGTTTAAAAAGGAACCTGATAGTCCTCAATTGCCACCTATTTCAAAGAGGATTCAAGATGATTCTGAAGAACAATTAATATCTAAAGTTCTTGGTTTGTATTATTTATATTAAAAATGATTTTGAAATATAGTTTTGATTTAGATACATTTTTTCATGAAGCTTGGTTTGTATTATTTATGTTAAAAATGATTTTAAAATGTAGTTTTGATTTAGATACATTTTTTTCATGAAGCTTTAGTTTCTCTTATGTCAATTTAACACAATATCTCAGAAAATGTCTATACCTATAGTATTTTTAACACAATATATAATGTATATTTTAGATATTTTCAAACATATAGCATATAATATATATTTTTGACATTTTTGGTAACAAAATATACTATCAAAGTTATAAATATTTACTTTCCTTTAACAGACAATACATTGCTTTCTAATTATTATTATTACTATGATGGATTCAGTGCAACATTTTTAAAGATGTGTATAGGCATTTGTAATTTTGTAAAAAATCCAAAACAAAGGATCATTAATGTTAGATAAAAGAATAAGAAATTGACTCATGCATAACTTATATGTAAAGATTTCTGTAATTCTTATACACAATTAAATAGAAATTTAATTTATTGTCAATAAAAAAATCTGCAAATTTATCTCTTTATTTATTCATTGTAAATATTAATTTTGTAATTGTGTTAATTTGATATCAAGGAACAAGTGGAAAAATAATAAACAAATAATTATTAATGTATCAATATATATATTATTATTGTAATATCTTTTTTTATACATAGAAAAATCAAAGCAAGGACATCAAGGGAAAATATTAATAAAAGATCTTAGAAATAGTGCAGTTTATAATGATACAGTTAGAGAAATAGAAAACAAAGAAAAAGAAAAGGCAGCTCGAATGGAAGATGGTGAATTATCTGATAGTAGTACAGATAATAAAACTCCAACATTAAGTCCTAGTCCAATTCGTTGTACCTCTTTGAGTCCAACTTTAGAGAAGGTAGAAAATAGAGTATTAAGTCCTATAAAAGGAGAAGTAACAGCTAGAAATGATTTAAGATTAATTTTGAGGGAAAAAGAAAAAAAAAGATTAGGAGATGTGGATAAAAGGTTAGAAGGAATAGAAAAATCAAAATTATATATGGATAATGAATACAAACAAAAAGCATATAATTATAATAGTAAAATTACAATAAGCAAAGATAACAAACATACTCATAATTGTCATTCTCAAGAGAAAAGAAGATCTGAATCTCGTACACGTGTGAGTTCACATAGAAGTAGAAGCAAAGAAAGAGATAAACGAAGAGATAAAAGCCGAGATAGATACAACAAAATTCGAAGTAGCGATCAGCGAGAATCTTTGAAATGTAGAGAACGACGAAGACACAGAAGTCGTAGTAATGATAGAAGTAGAGACAAATATGTACGTGGACGAAGTAGAAGTAGAGAACGAAAGTTAGTATCATTTTTTAAAATTATATCAATATATTGATTTCTTAATACATGTGTAATTTATTAACTTTTATAATTTATAAAGAGAACGGATAGAAATCGATAAAAAAAAATTGTTAGAAATAGCAAGAAGAAATGCAATAAATATGATTAAACAAGGAACATTACCATTAGTGCAACAAGATAAAGCTATTGCTGCAATACAAGCTGGAGGAAAAACAGTAGATGAACTTACAGGTATATATTTTGATAAAAATAATCATCTTTTTAATAATGAATAAATTTATCTTTTCATTTCAGATTTTTGTAAATCATTATCAAAATCTGAAGCATTAGGAGAACTTTCAAGTATTTCTTCAGAAGAAGATGGAAGTGAATCTGAGAAAGGTTTCCATCATCCCTTTTTACTTAAAGGGCGACCTAATTCTATTATTATGAATATTAAGGTAAGTTTAATACATATAATGTGTATAAAAAAAAATATTATTTACAAATATTATATTTTAGGATGCAAAGCAATTACCAACCAAAACATTCCAAGAAAAAACAATAGAATCATCAAATCAATTACGCTTACAATTTCCTGTATCAAGTGGACAACATCACAGAAAAAGCGGTAAAGTTTTACTTATTGTAATTAAACTAATTTCTAAAAATTATTAAAAATTTTTTATTTATTGTAGAAAATGAATGGATACCAGTTACTCCAAAAAAAACAGAAATAAAAAAACAATTTATACCAGCTTCTGTCCCAACTGAATCTTTTGCTGTAACATCAACTACATCTATATATCCAGTGCAATCAACAGTTTTTTCTCATTCAATAACAACAGAGGTACAGAAATAAAAGATATTGTCGTGAATTTGCATTTACATGTACATTATATTTTCAGCCAATAGATATTGGTTCAATAGTATCTCAAAGATTGGCAGCAATGAGAAAATTAAGAGAAAATCCAAATGATGTATGTGCTCAAAATGAAATGTATAGAGCACAGAATGAGGTATTGTTATATGCAATTAAAAAATTGTATTATCATACATTTGTAATTTATGTATTACATATACGATAGATGAAGACTTGGGCTGAAAGTAAACAAATACCAGGTCAATTTACTGGCAGTACAGGAGCCAAAGTACTTTCACCTGCAGAGCTCACTTCAGGTTATCAAGCCTGGGCTCGTAAGGTAACAGTATTATGTACTTACCAAATAATAATAATTTATCCTATTTATCTCTTTATATTTATTTAATCATAGAAAATTGTTTTAAGCAATTATGGTAGGAATATTTAATCTAATTAAATATATATTTGTAACCAAACTAGTAATTAGGATTGATAAAATGATGAATCTGAAATATTAGTGAGACGTTACATAATATAATTTTATATTTTTTCTTTTTTCTCTTTTTTTTTTCTTTCTTTCTTTGTTAACAATACATTACCTGATACTGATATTGCCTGTAACAAGTTTTCAGGTACAGATCTCTATCAAGATCAATGCTATACTCTGGTATATAGCAGATCTGATAAGAACTGTAATGTAGGCACAGACTATTTCTTATATAGAAGTAGATTCTGTGCCTGCATGGACACAGGAGCGCCATTATTTTATACATTTTTGTATTGCATAATTAAGCTATATAATTGATATAATTATACTTTATACTCAATAATTAAGAAAATTTAGTAATTAAATTACAGAAATATTTAAAAACATTGATTACATGAAATTCATTTATATAATGGGCTCTTGTGAGATTATTGCTAATTATCATCAGCTTCCTATCACAGGACTTCATCTGCAGTTAGTGTATCTTATGTTTATAAAGCTGGGATATTTAGCATTAGTCTGCATCCACCTGAGGGTTTGTTACAGGCACATAGCTACATCAGAGAAGAAACAACTTCAGCGGCGTGATGTCGAATTTATGATTTTTTTGGTAAGTATTTTCACCCCAAAAGTATTAGAACTTTATACAATGAATTAATATGTTAAAATATGTTAAGATTACATATAGAATAACCAAATTATTTTATTAATTTTAATCATATGTTTCTCATTTTTAACTTTTAATTTAAAGTTAACACAAATTCATTATATCTTAATTTAACAAACTATTTAGGACCAATTAGTATCAGCACAGCCTGTTTCGGGTGGGATGGGTATGGCTTTACTTCAGAAGATGGGTTGGCGACCAGGGGAGGGTTTGGGAAAAAATAAAGAAGGTACTCTTGAGCCCTTGCAGCTTGAAGTAAAATTGGACAAACGGGGCCTCGTTTCCGAGCAAGATATCGGACAAAAAATAGGAAAAGCGACGAAACCATTAATACCAGCAATTAAAACGTTGGAAGGTACGTTATAGTAAAAATTTACATAATGTAGCAATTTAGTGTAATATGAATAATTCGATATTTTACAGGGAAACATCCTGTATCATTATTGGGTGAATATTGTTCAAAACGAAAACTTGGCGCGCCAGTTTATGAATTATGTTTTGAATGTGGACCAGATCACAGAAAAAATTTCCTATTTAAAGTATGTAATTCTACTTGTTCATATTTCTTCCTCTAAAATATATAATGTATACGTATTATATATGATACTGTATACTTAGGTAAAAGTAAATGGAATTGAATACAAACCAAGTGTTGCGAGTCCAAATAAAAAACAAGCTAAAGCAGAAGCAGCACAAATTTGCTTACAAACTTTAGGATTGTTACCTGAGCCTAATTCTATGTCTAATCCAAAATGTTAAAATTAAAGTGAAAGACTACTTTCATTAAAAATATTATTCCTTCAAAAATGAAGGAAAAAAAAGAAATTGTAATACACTGTACAAAATTGTATATTTAAAAAAAATAAGTTATTTTGTTCATTTCGTTGTATATATATACTGTTTAACATTTCATTTTTATTATTAAAATTTAAATATTGTTATTTTAAATGTAAACATCAATGGATATAACATAAATGAAATAAATAAAACATGAATGTCATTTTAGTTGGGCTTATTTATTTGTTGATAAATAAAAAGAAAAATGTGAACATACTCAGTATTAACAATAAATTAAACTCGATCTTGTATCTCAAGCTTCTTCAAAATGTCGATCTGAAAAAAAATGGTATTTTTCATGCATATTATTACTTTAAAACTAATTTGAAGTATATTTCAATTTGAACAAGAAGTCGTTCGATCTATTGAAGAATTTCCAAATCTCTATACGTGTTTTTTATAGGTCAAATCAAATATAAAAAGAAAGTTAAGAGATTAATAAGAAAAATACAATCATAAAATTTCATAGATTAATCTCATTAATAAATTGTTTTTGCAAATGAGAACTCAATCAAATCATGGCACTGAAATGCTAGCGTCACGTAGCGTTTCAGTATCCATGATTCAATCAAATTTTTATTTGCAGAAAACTAATTAATGCGGTATATATATATTATTATTATACCGAATATTGAATACTAAATGTCCCATCAATAACATCGTACGTAATACAAAAATGGTAAAAATTAGATGATTCTCAATACGTGAGTCACGAAAAAGCGTTGAACGTCTATTCTATCCTTAGTTAATGATAAAACGTTGACATCACGTTTGACATGATAGCGAAAAACCGGCAATTTAATTTCTATTGTGATGGACAATGTAGAGGTTCCAATTTTTTACGACGACGAACCCGATTTTGTGGAACACGAATATTTACAAGATGTGGAATATGAATACGAATATGAAGATGTAGAAAGAGAAACATTATTTGAATTATATCAGTATTGCCTTCGACCTACTATTTACGATACAGTATTATATCTATTGCCACTATTTATTTCTACCATAATATTTAGATTATGTGCATATTCTCGTAAGATATATTTTTATAAATAAATCTATGAATATAATAAATAAATAAATAAGTAAATATATATATATATAAAATTAAATAACCGATATTTAATTTAATGTTACAGAACATATATCGCATAAAACTTTTCATATATTGTCAATATTGATTGGTATGTGTAACATTTATCGTTATGTAGGAGAATGTTTATATACGTTACTAATACTTTGTACGATTTCATATCTTACTTTACATATACCCAAGAGATATTGTAAATATGCGGGTATATTTTTGCCTTCACTTTTTGTTATAACATATTGGTAAGCTGCATGGCTATTAATTCTTTCAAATGCTAGAAATATATGTTTAAATATAATTAATTATATAGTTTCATCTATAAATTTTGTCTTTCAGTGAATTTTCTATGTCATCTATCATATGGCATAAAGTACGGGGTGTAGTAATGACTGTGGCAATGAAAACAATTAGTGTAGGAATAGATAAGTCTAATACAAACGATCTACCTAATATTTATGCCTACATGGGATATATGTTTTGTAGCGTCACTTGCTTATTTGGTCCTTGGATATCATTTAAGGATTATATATCAATACGTTATAAACCTAATCAGGTATGTACAATTGTTACTATTACATGCTACATATTTATTACAAATGGAATTAAAAACTAATATCTCTTAATTTAAGGATAAGTGGTGTATATTGTATATTATTCAGTATGCATTATTATCCTTTCTTTTTTTGTCTATCTCGAATTGTTGGGCACAATGGATAATCACCGACACTTCATGGAAGTAAGTGAATATTATATATTTTATCTATTATAATATAATAAATATTAATTTGCTTTTATATTTTTAGATGGTTATTAGCTTATAAGGATGCATTATCTTTTAGAATGTCTCATTATTTCATTTCATACATTGCATCCAGTTTATTATTATTAGGGGGATTTCCATTTGCATTAAGCACTATAGTGAAACCATTACAAATAGAATTACCACATTCACTTGTACATGTTGTTATTTGTTGGAACGTACCAATGCATTTTTGGCTCAAAACATGTATGTATGGACATCTAAACGATTCATGTATATTTAAGATTTTATCGTTAATAGTATCCAAAATATGATGTATCTGACTATTTAAATTTTTAGATATATTTCGTCCCAGTATTAAATATTTGGGAAAATTTGGAGCTATAACAATGACATACTTAACAAGTGCTCTTTTACATGGATTAAATTTTCAATTAGCAGCAGTTTTGCTTAGTCTTGGATTTTATACCTATATAGAATTTCAACTCAGAGCTCTGCTTGCTAATATTTTTGATGCATGTGTTGCATCAAAGAAATGTATCAAAGCTAAATGTACACATACATATAATACTCACAATTCATGGTGGGTGTTCTTAACAAATGTGATGTTTTCTGGATTGTCAATTTTTCATTTGGCTTATTTAGGTCTTATGTTTGATACGTCTGAATTACAAGAAACAGGGTATAGTTATATTCATACTATTCAAAAATGGTCACAACTTGGATTTGCTAGCCATTGGGTAGTCTTTGCTACATATTGCATATATTTTTTGATGAGATAGTCTAATTATAAATGTATAAATAAAATATTTATTTTTTTTAATATATTTAAAACATATCATTTAATTAAATATAAATATAAATGTTATTTTTTATATCAATTAATTTAATTAAATATAAATGTTATTTTTTATATCAATTATAATATTTAATATAAGCGTGTAATAAATTTTTATAAAAATTATTTATATAAAAATACAAAAGTATAGACTTACTTAAAGAAATAGACTTACAACTTACATGGAATAAACGGGATATAATTTGATAACAAAATAGATAAAATATATAGTCTTTATTAAGTATATAACATATTATAAAATGTATTTGCATGTAAGTGTACATAAAGTATATTAAACGATTAGTATATAATAGTATTATATATAATAAGACCAAAAAGTTTATGCATTTGTTAAATAACACATCACTGGCATATACTATGTTATTAAAATGATACATACTAAAGTTGAGCATAATCATATATAATAGCGAAAAAATATTTTTTCGATCAAAGCGCAATAACGTTGTATTTTATTGTTAATAATATTGCATACAATAAAGAATATTATGTTTGTAATATTACAACATAATATACTATATGTTATAAATTAAATTGGAAACATTATAAGAAAAATATTTTAGAATAAGCTGTATTTCATTTTGTAATAAAATAAATGAAATAATTTTTCGACAATACATATGTGTATTTAAGGCAAAAAATTGAAATTGTGTTTATACATACCTATCTTCTTTTTTCTTCGTTCTTTTTCTTACATAGTATACACATATATTAAGAGAATATTTTTTATAAACTAAATAAATATAATATGTAAGTATATATATTTAATATATAATAAATAAAATAAATATACTATTTGTATGATATATAAATATATGTATAATTATATATATATATTTATACATTATAAATAAAAATCAAGTAAAATTTCATTGAAAATTTCACTAACATATATATAAAACTTCTCTAATACACTGTTATAAGAGTATATTTTATGTTTTTCAATAATCATGATACATACATAATTCTACATTTAACTTTACTTTGTAATTAAAAATTACACACGAAAATATTGTACATAAAAGATATTCACAATTTTTAATAATGAATCAATTTCTTTTTTTCTAAAATAATTATGTTTATAATCTATTTAATAAATAGATAAAAAAATTTACTTTCTTTTTAATCTTAGATATTAATAACGTATAACATGTTACTTTACATTATTAAAATATCTTTTCATTATGTATCAATGATATTCTTTCAAGAAATGCATCAATTTATTAAAATATTTGTCAATTTTTGTTGTATATACACATTATATGTATATATACATAAGTTATGTATATAATTATATTTTCTTAAAAGATATCTAGAGTGATTAAATCTTTCGTACTTTCAACATATTACACATTAGTACCAATATGTTTATTAATTTAAATATATATCCAATTAATAAAAAAAAAAAATCAACACGGATCATATTATACATTATCATTCATAATCATACATGAATACATTCCCTCGCATGAGTACATTTCAGTTACTGTTCCATAATCAATCTAATGATAAAATTCACGCAATTTTTTTTGCATATTTAAAATTTTAAAAATGTGACATCTTCATAATATTTTTAGGCATATTTTTCAAAATATAATTTTATCCAAGCATGATTTTCAGATGTACAGTAAAATTATATAGCAAAAGTGTACAAATAGTATTTAGCAAAGAAATTTAAATTAAAAAGTAGACTATTAAGTATAAAAATGATCCAAAAAATATCGATCAAGCTAGATATTTCGTTTTAAATGCTGTTAGAATTAAGAACATTCAAAAGGAATAACTTTTATCTAGAAAAAACGAGGCGTGAAAATGTGTAAACACTAATAATAGCAACAATTTATCAGCTTATTTTTACGATTATATTTAACAGCATTTTGAATATTAAGCTTACATTCTCTATTTACACTCTATATAAGGCTACAAAACGAAAGTTAATGAATATAACTGCATCTTCAGATTATTTAAAGAAATAACAAAACAAATATTGTTATTTTAAAATAATTTCTAATTGTATTTGTATTAAACAAATACATAATAAAATTGTTAATAGACCAAATTATACCTTTTTCTCAAATGTGTTTATCTTTTTTGTTCATAGTAAGATATGATGATAAAAATTCTGTATTTCAAAATATCTTTAATGATATTTTTTAAACCATATGCAATATGTAAATAATAATTCCACAATGATAATGCTAGCTATGTAATTCAATAACATATTGTACATTTTATATAGTACATCACATTCTTGTGTGCATTAAGTCTTTATATTTTTTATGTTTTGTATTAAAAACATTATAAGAAAAAAAAATTATATTAAAAAATATAATATTCTACATATTTCTGTTGAAGACCCAGTTAAAATTTCTACACATTGTTAATATAATTATACTGATGATATAACTTTATATCATGTAGCACTTATGTAAGTACTATACATGGATTGATTTTTCATACATACATTATAATTGCAATTTCTTATTAATGAATACTATATATATAATATGATTAGTACAATAACAAGTTTCTACAATCTATCTACTTACAAAATTTATAATCATCACAAAATATTGCTTTAACTTAAAGTTTAAAAATCTATTTAGTATATGTAACATTTTCCTATATTCAAAAATTATGTTTAATTATGGGCTTTATCTTTTATGAATTAATAGTTATATTAATAATCATATAAATTAAATAAATTATGTTAATTACATAGTTATAAGTAAGAATGCATGGGATTTTAAGTTTAGTCATTTCATTGTTCTTTTTGTTAAAGGTAAGAATAACTTTCATGTTAATTAAAACATTAAAATCAAATTTAATAATTACTAATATTTTAAAATATTAAAATATTAAAAAAAAAGATAAAGAACGTTAATTATTTTATACAAAGCAACTATTATTCGAAATTTTAGTATTTTGTACAAGTACTTAGCAATACATGTAATTTAAAGCGAATAAAAAAATTCTACATAAAAAAGAAAGTACCATTTTAATATTAATCATTATTACTTTAATAAAATCAAAACTTAAATAAAGCCAAATAATGTATAAATTCACTATAAAAGAGCAACAATAACTAAACAAAATGAAAATTTTGAAACTTAATCATTTGGAGATATTTAACTATCATATTATTTTTTCTGACCAGCAGAAAGATAACATAGTAAATTGTTTTATAAAATTACATTATTTTTTTGATTTTAGAAACGTTCAACGTATTGCGAAATATGGAAGAATTTATAAACGCCACATCGGGGAAAAATTGCATGATTACAAACTTACAAATATAAACAGAAAATACAAAAACTACCTTGAAAATCGTACTTAAAGAACTTGCCAGTGAACCATAAAAAATACTATAACAGTTGTAAATCTACTTGATCTTCGTTGATCTTGATAAAAGCAATAATTATTGAAAATTGTTAATTAATATGATGCTTTTACTGAATGATTGAATTTAAACGATGAGATCTTCTGCGCTGTCGAGATGCTTGAGTTACTGGATTGTCTTCTCCAATGCCATTCAGAATATCGGTTAGTCATCTGATAAATGCAGTTTTATAACTTTTGGTCGTACGCGCACTGCAAGTCATGAAATGGAAGCGATTCGTTAGCCATTTTAGTGTTACTTGCTTAAATTTTAAATATATCTTATCTAGTTTCAACGAATACATAATGATTGTATTTTAAAAAAGATGACTGTATTTTAAATTCAGATTCATGTAGTGTTTAAGTTTAAATATTGTTTAATTCAATTCAATGAAATATTTTTATATATGGATTCTATATATAAAAATGATGATTGTATTTTAAATTTAGATTCATGTAGTGTTTAAGTTTAAATATTTTGTAATTCAACGAAAAATTCTTGTATATAGAAATTAACGAATATATTATATTTAAAATCTAATCTTAATTTTTATACTGTCATTTGATTATTATTGAGAATAATGACATAAAAGATACAAAAAAATTAAAAATTAATTTGTCTTAAAATTGAAATTTTTCCAAAAGAATTAGAGAAATTATTTACGCATTGCAAAAAATTACTTTTGTATATTTTAAAGTAAACATTTCTTGTCAATACATGCATATTTAGATCAATAAAACATTCAAGCTGCATGCAAGTTGTAATGACAAATTATCTTTACATCTTTTTATATACAAATATGTACAATAAATTGATGATTGCCACATAAAATAGATAATATATAAAATAGCCATATAAGATTTTTTAGTATTAGATTTAAAATTTTTTATAATACATGTGTTTAAAATTTAAGAAATTGCAAAATAAGTATAGTTGTTTTTAAACGTAGTATAATACACAAAAAACTCATTTAAAAAATGCAAGTCAAAAATTACTTATAATAAAAGCTATATAACTGTTACTTAATTTGTTTAACCTTTTGAAAGTAACAGTTATAGAGACTTACTGTCTTAGAGAATGATAGCGATTTACTCGATCTGCAGACCTGAGGATCATATTCATGCCTCGCTGCGGTTGTGTAATCAAATTGTTTGCAGACGAATTTGTAGTTTGTGTTTCTGTGATACAAGAAGTTTTTATACTGGCCCTTGTCACTGGTTTTGATACAGACATTGTAGTAAGACGAGTAGTGGAAGATGTATTGTTGTTATTATGGAGTCGTGTTGTTGGTTTAGTAGACTTAGCACGAGGCGAAGATGGTTCACACGTACTGTTGACTAGCCAACTGTTTCTATAATTTTTAGTATAGACAGTGAGTTTGTATTTACTTTTACGACATTCAACAGTTAGAATGCAAAATAAACTAACTAAAAATGGAATAGAAGAAAAAATTAGTGTAAATAAATAATAAATTAAAAAATTTATTAAATAAATTCTGACCTTTTAACAATAGTTGTAGCAGTAGATCTGGGAAGAAGTCTTTTTGCAGAATCCTTTTCTTTATTTCCAGTTAATGTATTAATTGTATTCTTCTGAGTTTTTGTTTGCAATAATGATCTTAAGTAAGGACTGAAAAGAAATTCATGTATTAATTACGACACTCCTTTATTCTCGCATAAGTTGTATTATTAGTAAATAGATTTTTACTTCACTACTGTTGATGGTCTAGTAGTTATATTAAGTAAAGTATGATTTGCTGGTAATCGTTTTCTTTTAGCTTTAATTTGATTCAATTTATCACCCTGAGATAAGGTTGTATATTTAGTCGTGCTAGTGCTTGCATGATCATCTAATGTAATTCCATCTACACAATGCATAATTCCCGAAACATTATCTTGCATGACATGTGCACTTTTTAAATGAGCTAAAAATGATGTTTTCGGTCTACCAATTATAGAATATATCCCATATTCATGAATTGGATTTCCATTCTGTGGTTGTAATGGCTCTTTTAGTAACGAATGAAGATATGCTTCTTTCCTAAAATATGAAATTTATAATCTTTCAGGCATGAAAGATTGATATTATTTTTAAAACACAAAATACAGATTCAATAATGATGCATACTTCTCCAACCATTCCTGTTGATGCCCAATTACTGAACCTGGTCTACATATTCGTATCCATGCAATTGTTTCATGAGCTGTTAAATGATAATGTTTCATAATGTAACAACCGATAAGTGAACCTGTTCTGCCAAGTCCTGCTCTGCAGTGTACAGCAACAGCACCACTTGCATTCTCTGTTATTTTAAGAAATTGCCGCATGATTGAATCTGTTGGAGTTGAACCATCAAGAAAAAACAAATCTTTATGCTCAAATCCCGCATCTGTGAAGATTGAAGCGTCATAAATTTTTTTATTAAGACGTATAATCGTAGTTACATTGTTGTAATGGAAATATGTAAAATATGATTCTGGTGCATGAAATGGATATCCTGTAAAAAGAAAAAAAAATAAGAATAATAATTTAAAGAAAAATAAAGAATAATCATAATTTAACTTAAAACTGAGCTTACCATTTTCTATTTTAAATTTAGCGTAAGGACCACAAAATGCTATAAATTTACCAGGGACAATCCAATTCAAATCTCCATTTTCAACTCTTTCAAAATATTCATATTCTTTAACACAAAAATCTTGAAAATTAAAAAATCCAAATTTGTGGCACTTATATATGGCACTAAGACATTCAATTAAAGATATTTCAAACCATGGTGTACCAACAGATGCATCTCTGAACATTATAAACGATGGACTGTCAGGACTATTGGTTAAGCAATTATATGCTTCTTCTGCTGTGCATTTACAATATAATATCTAAAAAATATATACTGATAAATCTTAGTTTTCTGAGTATTATATATTTAATAATATGAAATTAATCTTTGTTCAACAAATACCAGGTTATTTTGACCTGACTCTCATTGATTGCCTGACGGTAAACTCATTTGTTATTTAACCAATATTATATATAAATAACTTATATAAAAAATTATGATTGTATAATATTATATAATATTTAATACAATGTTAAAAAATAACAATATTTTATACCAAAAGTTTGAAAATGTTTGCAAATAAGAAACATCAATAAGAAAAATCAAAATGACCTGGCATCCATATGTCGCATCAGCGTTTATAGTTCAAGGATTAATAAAATCTTACTGCATAACTTCCTATGAGAAAAGCAGCATTGACTCTCTTTGCTGGATCCATAGTTGTATAATGTACGATCTTTTTTTTTCTTAGTGTTACTGCTTTGAGTTTTTTATTGACCTTTTGACAATAATGATACAACATAGCAAGATTTAATGGACCAAAATCATCATAAAAATTTTCATAGATCAATTCATCATCAATACTGAAATAATGGATGTTTGGAGTACTCTTTGGTTTTATCATCGTCCTCAATGTTATAAAATATAATCGCTCTACAAGTGAAAAAATATAAATGATGTTTTAATGCTATACCCAATATTGCAATGGTATTTTATTATATCTTTTTTTTTTTCTATTACCTTTTATGAACTCCGAAGCACATATTAGTAAGTCATTTGTATCCTCCATCATTGGTTCTTATTGTGATATTGTGAATACCAATTGAGTAAGCCTGTCATCAGCGCAACCGATATAAGAAAGGATACAATTTAATTAACACAATCAGAGATCATAAATATAAACACAGAAGGTTAGAATAGGTGTAGTAAAAGTAAACTGGATCCATCTACCTACACACGGTTACATTTGCATGGTATGTATAATACACATGAATTTATAATTAAAATGTCGCACGCGAAAATACAGTATGTATTACACCATTTAAAAAAAATGTTTACTTACGTACACGACCGTTACAAAATTTAAACTTGGTCAATGAAGAATTGATGATGGCTGATCAGTTACGTTTCGAGTCTTTCCGGTTATATTATATATTCAAATATATAATATTTCATAAGTATCATGCAACTTTCTCCACTATGTCAACATAATCATTTTACAAAATATTAGCAAGACATTTATTTTTTACATATATTAACATCATTACTCCCTACAAAAATGAAAAATACATATTAAATGTACACTACCATGTTCGTTGTCTTATAATATTAAATTGATGACGACGTACGAACTCAATGTCTAAAACAAGAAACATTGTAGATGTTCACTAATATCGCAAATGTCTTGTACAATATCTCAAAAACCTCCAGTTAAAATTACATGTTAAAATGACGTTACATGTTAACGCAATTACGTTGCGATGATTTTTCAGTCTTTATTTGGCGAGGGCCAAATGATTATTTTATTAATTGCGAAACAGCGCACTCTATTAAATAAAAATTCCCTACATTTGTTATTGTTACATTATCGTGTGAACTTGACTTTATACTTTTAGCAGTAAGTAAAGTAGCACAAAATTTAAAATCGTCTATGTGTATGTAGTAATACTTTTACTCAATTATTTATTCAGTTCTTTTATTTATCTAATATGGGCGTAAGGAATTAGCAACATTTACAACTTTCAAATCGATTAAAAAATTGCCTACATATTCCATAACTGTGTGATTCGTATAAAGTCTCTGGTTAGAAAAAAACAGATTTTCTAAATATACCAAACACAGACTTTATGCGTATTTTACTAATTTTATTTAATTTATTATATCCACGTTTACGTGATGAAAAATTCTATTTTGCGTTCTATAGTTACTTGATCATAGTTGCATTCTGACAACAAAAAATCTATAAATTTTCTTGAAAATATATTCTTGCGTGTTATACGATGTTTAGTATGACGATGGAACGTTTCTTCGCCAAATTGATTTCGAAAATTGCTTTATACTAAACAATTAACACCTCAAACTTTTAGAAATTTGTAAAAAATTATTTTTTCTTAAATTATCTTCTCATCTTCAATTTTTCGCTCATTTTATCAAATAGAATAGTTTATTTCAGGAGTACCAATCGGTGTCAAATAACCCTTGCTTAACGCTGATTTATAATATTATAAATTATTAATTTTTTAAAAGTTTGAATTAAATTTATAATGTATGTGTCTAAAGATTTATAGATTTGTAGATTTGTATATTATTATATTTTTATATTGAGCTACATGTTTAAATAAAATTGTTAAGAAGTCATTACTACCAACTGTGATATTTTTTGGTAATGTAATAAATTGCAATCATAACCTAACTACAAGTATATATCTAGTATTATTAGAAGACATTATTTGAAACGACGCTTTTGACATTCGCTAAATGAAATTTAAAAATAAAAGAGTATAAGAATGGAGTATAAAGAAGACACTCAAACGGATGTAGTTTCATCAGAACATATATCTTCGAAAACATTTATATTTTCTAAACCGCGTGTAGTTAACCTTCCTAAATCTATTAATTTTGGGATTAATTTTGAACAGGTATCAGATGGATTCAAAAGAAAAGATTTATTTACCTTTGCTATGCCAGTTTCAGCGACAAAGTCCAATAATCAAGATTTTCAATCGGATACATATGAAAAGCAATACAAACCAAAAATATCAAGAAATTCTTACAAACCAGCAGTTAATGTATTTGCTCAGGCACTTAAGGATACTGCAATGTTAGAGCAGTTAAACAAAAATTCGAGATCTCAGGTTGCTAAAATTAATTTAGAAAACTCTATAACATGTACAAATGTACCCCATTCATTACTGACAAAAGTAACAGCAAAAGAATATTTTATCAGATTTGGGAATCTTTCAAAAATTACTATTCGTCCCAGAAAACAAACAATTATTGTTGTTTATGCTACTAAAGAAGAAGCAGATGTAGCTTATAATAAAAGTGGTGAATATTTGGGAGAAAAATTTAACATAGAATGGACAAAATCAACTGTTTCACCAAAATCTCCTACAAAAAGAAAAGATATACAAAAGAATAAAATTTACAATGTATCTCAAATTGTATCTAATTTTTTAAAATCATCTGACGATGAGATTAAATTAGAATTAGATGCTATGACAAATCTTGAGTATAATCTACATAGTAGAAATAGTTTTGATGAAACTTTAGTTAAAAAACATAAAACATTGCAATCAGAGAGTATGCCAAAATCTACTGATAAAAAAAGATTAGAGAGAACATCTGCAAAAACTGAAAAACATAAAGTTGAAAGTCAAATATCTGATTTACTACCAAATGCTACTATTGAAGAACTACAAAATATAATTCAACAACCTGCATATACTTCTGAAGACAAATATAAAGTACTAGAAGCAAGAGATCGACTTATGCGGATGAGACAAACTAAATCACATACATTAGCAGCAGCTAAAGTAATGATTGGAATTTGTCCTGATATGTGCCCTGAGAAAGAACGTTTAATGCGTGAGTCAAAAAGACAAGTGGCATTATATGAACAGCTTGAAATCAATGAATACAAAATAAACCACATGACAGCAGTCAAACAATATTCCAGATCTTCTGCAGATCAAGAAGAACCAATGGCACATGAATTAAGACCAGTAAAATCTCTAAAAATGACTATGAGTTATTTACTTCATGAAATAGTAAATCTGTGTGATCAACAGGGGACAAACTTGGGAGAGTGGTACCATTTTTTATGGGATAGAACAAGAGGAATTCGAAAAGATATAACACAACAAGAATTATGTTGTACTGATAGCGTAGAATTAGTTGAACAATGTGCTAGGTTTCATATAGTATGTTCTGAAAGACTTTGTGCAGAACAACCATCTGTTTTTGATAAAAAAATTAATTCTGATAATTTAACAAAATGTTTACAATCATTAAAATACATGTATCATGATTTAAGAGTAAAAGAAATTATCTGCAAAAATGAACCTGAATTTCGAGCATATATTATTTTATTAAATTTAAATAATGGTAATTTTATGTGGGACTTACAAAGATTACCAAATAATATACAAAAATCATCGGACGTCCAATTTGCATTAGATATATATTCTGCTCTTGAGTCAAATAACTATTATAAATTTTTTAAACTTGTTCAGAAAACTACATATTTAAATGCATGTATCTTACTTAGATATTTCAATCAAGTGAGATTAAAAGCACTATCAGTACTAGTCAAAGCTTATTGCAGGACTACATCAACAGCATATCCATTATACGAATTAATTGATATTTTGGGTTTTGAGGATGAAAATGAAGCTATATATTTTTGTGAACAAGTAGGATTAAATGTTTCAAAAGATGGTTTACATGTATTATTGAATCGAAATAATTTTACAATGCCTGTATTAAATATAAAACAAGATAGAGCATGTAATTTAATAGATTCTAAAAGAATTATGCAAAATTTATCCATTGGAGAATGTATAGCAGGAGGAAATATCCCAGAAAAAACTTACAAATATCACAAACCTCATAATAGTTTTGATTTACATGGTTATTTAAAGTCTGATTCTATTAGTGCAGAAGATCAAAATAAGGGTATTATTTCTGTCTCAATTGATCCATATGAATTTATAGATGAAGATATAATGAAGACGGAGCAATCCATGTCAATGTCTGGAAAAAGTCAAAATGATAATGAAAATACGCTTATTATTGAACAAAAAAGTACACCAAAATTTGTTTCAAGCATTGAAAATCCAAATTTTTCAACAACCATAAAATTTAGTACTAATATCTCCTTTGTTCCTAAATCTCAGATACAAATTAATGAATTTCCAACAAGTACAAATTCATCCTTAGTAACATCGAAAACAGAAAATCAGAAAGATTCAAAGACATTTAGCTTTATATCAAAACAACAACCAAGTGAGTCTCCTGTTTTGCCTAATGTATCAAACGTAACATCAACAATTTCTAAAACATCTAGTCTATTCTTTAAATCTACCATTCAACAAGAACTGTCATCAAACAGTAGTGTATCTCCATTTCCATTTGCAACAACTACAAATAAAAATATATTTTCAGAAATATCACAAGGAAATATATTTATGAAAAATTTTACATCTGCTATATTTCCTAATACATATTCAAATTTACAAACTATTTCAAAATTACCAAATATTGAAAATCCTGCAATTATCACAAATAAAACTATATCAAATGAAACAACAAACTTCTTTGCAAATACAACAAAATTGAAAAGACAACCTTCACAAGAAGAGAAGGCTGAAAATTTAAAATTAGAAGAACATGAATCTATTAAAAAGACACAACAGATTAATGATACTGCAACAAAAATATTGAATACTTTAGAAACAGAAATAGTACAAGAATACTGTTCTGCTATAGTAAAGGAAGAAATAGATAAAATACATATTTACAATGTATCTAGTAAGGACATTACCAATGAAATTTTTAGTCAAGTAACTTATCAAATTTGTGATAATTTATTAAAGGAAGAAATTGACAATGAACAAAAATTATATGAAATGTCAGTGAAATTAAAAAATAGAGTAATTATAAAATATTTCAATAAATGGAGATTTAATACATTGAAGAAAAAGCAACAAAGAATAGCATTAGAAAATACACCCGTATGGTTGCAAAAATATACTAGTGAACAATGTGCAAAATTATTTTACACTAAAGAACAAGATTTAGTTATTAAAAGTATGTGTAAAAAGCACGATGAAATGAAAGATATTAAATGTTACTCTGAATCTTTAGCACCAATTCATATTATAATTTATATTGGTATTAAAGAACATTTGAAATCTTTAAACATTGATATACATCCCAATTGTTATTGGAAACTAATTATTTCTTGGCCAAACTTATATAATAAAGCAGTTTTATGGCATCATAAAAAAATAATGAATCAGTATCTTTACCCTGAAGATTATTCTGCAGATCCTATCATAAAACTGTATCAACCAAATCAAAATGAAACATTCTATATCTGTATCAGACATTTTGAAGGCCTGATTAGTGAACATAATTTAATAGGATCAGATGCTCTTTTATTTATAGCAGATGCTTCTGAAGAAATTAAATTTATTGTGAAACGTTTAACAAAAATTGTATTATCTAGAGACAAGTTTATGCCCATACCACTTGTATTTCTTATTTTGGGTAATTCAGTATTTCAAACTCATGATGAAGAACTTATTTCTAGTTTGGAAAAACTATTGAAAGCTGGATATTTATCAGTTTATACAATCATACATGAAAAAATTTTAACTGAAGAAACAATTTTAAATTTAACACAAAGTGCAATTTTTTGGTTGTCCACAAATAAATCACCTCAAAATCCACTAGAAATGGATTATTTGCAAAATATTTATAATACTTGCTTGACAGAAGACTTATGGCTAAGGTATTATAATCAAAAATATTGTAAATTAAGATAAATATAATACATATTTTTTAACATTTTTACAGAATACATGATAACTCGCTCTTCAATGAAAAATTATTACATGCTTTAGAGAAGCCTAAATTTATCATTGATTTACATAACGAAGCAGTCTCTCATATGATGGACATAATTCTAGATTCAGAATCTTTCATGTATACAAAATTTGCTCCCGAGTTTAAAAAATTCATAAAAAATCAGTGTATGCTACCATGCACTTATGAATACTTTGATGATATTTGGAAAAATGAAGATTATAAAGCAGAATTAGAAAAAATAATGTCTACTTTTAAGCTACCTCAGTGGAAGTAAGAAATATCATGAATATAATTTATAATATATATTAATATTGTTTTAATTTAATTGAACTTATTTTTATATATTCTAGGTATCCATGGCCTATAAACAATAGTATCATACTTCGTCAAAACTTAAAAAAATATTGCCAAGAATTATTTACTTCTATTAGTGAGGAAATATCTTGTAGTATGTTAAGTAACTTATTTTTTACAACTGGCATTTCAACCTCATCGAATTTTAGTGATGTTTTACTATACATCATTAAGCAAAAGATGTATCTTCTTGATAAAAATTTGAAAGTAATTTATAATAAGAATTATATGAAATGTTTTCGAACTTTACCATGGTGGTCAAAGTCTACTCTATTAGCTGAATATAAAGTTATACCAAAATGTATTAATATTCACGAAACTGAAAAGGAAAATAAAAAAATAACTGATGTCAATGAACCAGTGGTAAAGAAACAAAAATTAAACAAATTTCAAGAAAACAAGTTTGAACTTGAGCCATTGGCAACATTTTGTGAAAATAGTCGTAGTCAAGTAATGGAAGTGCATTGTATTTCGAAAAAGATTGAAAATTGTTTAAAGGAACATCAAGAGCAAAGTTATTTATTTGAAGAAAAATTAAAGAATGCTTTGTTTAGTGAAATGAAGTATACTTAACGAGTTGTGCGTGCATGTATGTGTATGTGTGTGTGCGCGCGCGCGTGTGTGTATGTAAAATTACAGTTCTTTGGCATATCGTAAAGTTCATCTTTAAATGAATATTTAAAAAATTGTATTTATAATAATACAAATAATAATAATTATGTATATAAGTGATACAGAGGATAAGGTCAAAAGTATTGCATAACTGTACAAAAGCTGCGATTCCTTATGCAAAAATAAATCAAAATGTTAAACGCAAAGAGATTAAAAGTTTTTCAAATTTTAGTATGTTAATGTAAAACCGATTTTACATATGCACTAACGTATTCATATGCATGTATATATAGCTCCGATTCGAATAAAAAAAATCAAATTTTATCAATATCTTAGTTATTTAAATGCAACTTTCTTTCTTAAGTATTTTATCACTTTACTTTCTTCAATAAAGAAAATAAAGACTAAATAAAGTTAGATATTTAAAAATTATAAAAAATTTTATAATACTTTAAATTTAAATTTTATAATACTTTATATATATTCTTTTATTACAATTAATTGTATATTAGTATAAAAATTGAAATACATAAAAAGAAATTAAAATGGTACATCATTTTTTATTTATATTTATATTTTATAAAATAATTGTATAATTTACAATTCCATGATGTAGAAACTTTAATTCATAAAACAATTTATATTATTAAAATAATTTTGATATTTTTCTGATATTTGAATTATCAGACACATATTACTGCGATTTTTCTTTATAGAGACTTTTGTACGTTTAATTTAGATCTAGAATAAAATAGAATTAATTAGTTAAGTATATTATGTACATATAAATATAAAAATGAAAATTTAAATAATTGTAAATTTATTTCAAATTATTTAAATTTTTTAATATTTTTTCCTCGCTTTTTTTTGAAAATGCTCCTTTATCCCTAGTGCGACCTCTATTGAAGAATTATTGTACAAAATCTTTAACGGACTTTTTAAATGTCGAGTATCTTATTCATTTTAAACCCATTAAGTTGTGTATGAATGAAGAGTTTGGTGTTTCTTAATGCGGTACTTAAATATTTTCTCATTGTTTCATATACATTAACCTTTTTAATTTTTTTTTACAATTAAATTTATTGTGTAATGAATTTTAATTTCAATACAATAATTCAATTGCTTAAAATGCAATAACATTGCAATAGCATAAGAGTTGATTTATGCTTTGATTCTCATTTATTCATTATTTTATTCTTAAATTAAATCATTATTGCTCGTTTTTTAAATACGTTTATAATGTCTCACTTGAAATACATGAAAGAAATAAATAATTTAACTCGCATGGATGAAACTATCAAGGGGCCACTTCCGCGCTGGCAGAAAAAATGTTTAGAAACATCAAATTCCAGGTATTAATTTATTATTACTCTTTTTGTTTCTTTTTTTTTTATTATTAGAAATGAAGCAAGATATATTTTATCATCAATATTCATCGTATTATATTCATATCAATACAGTGTCAATCATAGTGTTAATACATCACGAAAAATTACCAGTGGATCATTTACAACACCAACACCAACAAAGAAAAATGATACTCGAGTGAAAAAAACACCTTCTAAAACTTCCAAGAAATCTCCAAGTATGAAATCTACTGTGAAAACTATTTCTATAGCATACAACATGTATAATATATAAGTATAGAATATTTATAATATAGAATATATATAATATATAGGTATAAAATATTTGTAATAGAATTAGAACAGTCTATATAAAAAATATATAGTGATATATATATATATATATCATATGTATAATATAATATATATTATATAATGATATATATAGTAATATATGTAATTATTTAAATATTATAATTAGGTCGTACACCAGCTAAAACACCCAGTGGTGGTGATAGATTTATTCCTTCAAGAGCAACAACAAATTTTGATCTTGGTTATTATAAGGTATGCGTTTATTATTTAATATAAATTTTATTATTTAATGTAAATTTTATTATTTAAATTTTATATAATATAAATTTTGTTATTTTAATATTATGGATATAATATATTACATATGAAATCTAAGAATCTTTTTAGATTCAACAACAAACAAATATAGAAAAAAATGAAGAAAAACTAGACAATGCAAGCCCTTCCAAAAGAGAAATGCAGCGACTCATGGGAGAAAATTTACATGGTGGTGATATTAATCAGATGAGAGTTTTGTCTTACCAGAATAAAGCACCAGCTCCCCCAGAGGGTTATCAAAATCCATTGCGTGTTGTGTATAGTCAAAGTAAAACACCAGCAAGTATAAAAGCTTCTACAAGATATATACCACAAACTCCTGATAGAATATTGGATGCTCCAGAAATTGTTGATGATTATTGTAAGAATCTTTAGATGTTCAATATATATACGTTAACATTTACATAAATTTGTTTACATTTCAGATCTGAATTTAATTGATTGGTCGGAAAGTAATATTTTAGCTGTAGCATTAGGTGCTAATGTATATTTGTGGAATGCTGCAACAGGAACTATAGAACAGTTACTTGAATTAAATGGCAATGATTATGTTTGTTCTGTTGCATGGATTCAAGAAGGTCCATATTTAGCTGTAGGTACTACAGTAGGAAATACAGAATTATGGGATTGTAGTCAAACAAAAAGAGTACGTGTAATGAATGGTCATGCGGCCAGAGTAGGTTCTCTCTCTTGGAATTCACATATTTTGACGAGTGGATGCAGGTATGAATTTTTATAGTGCATATTGACGCAAAATTTTAATTATATGTTTCATCCAGGGCAGGACAAATAGTGCACCATGATGTTAGACAAAGGGACCATTTAATATCAACAATTAATGCACATGCTCAAGAAGTATGTGGTTTAAAGTGGTCACCTGATGGAAAATATTTAGCAAGTGGTGGTAATGATAATATGCTTCAAATTTGGCCATCAGTGTCTACACAAAGTCATACAAATACACAACCAATTTATTCATTAAATCAACATCAAGCTGCTGTAAAAGCACTTGCTTGGTGTCCTTGGCAGAATAGCATTCTTGCTAGTGGAGGTGGTACTGCTGATAGAACTATTCGATTTTGGAATTGCAATACTGGTAAAGAAAATAGTAGTAATAATAGTAACAAAAATATTAATTTTCGTTACAATTCTTTTTACAAATATTTATATAAATATTTATGCAATAGGTGCATGTTTAAATATGGTAGATACCAAATCACAAGTGTGTTCTTTACTATGGTCTACAACATATAAGGAAATTGTATCTGGTCATGGATATGCACAAAACCAGCTGATAATTTGGAAATATCCTGCAATGACAAAAGTCGCAGAACTTACAGGTCACTCTAGTCGTGTTTTACACTTAGCAATGTCTCCAGATGGTACTACGATACTTAGTGCAGGAGCTGATGAGACCTTACGATTATGGAAATGTTTCCTACCTGATCCACATAAGAAAAAAGATACAAGTGAAATAAAATCTGTTGCATCTAGACTTAAGCAATCGATTCGATAATGTTTTTATATATAACAGGCGAAGTAAATTCATATATTTACTTAATGAAACATACGACTGATGACTTATTTTTTTAATATGTCATTATTAATGTATTTAAAATAGATTTGATATATTAGTACCTGGAAGTATTGAAATACATTTTTTAGACTAGAGATTTAATTTACATGCTACTTTTATAAGAAAATTAACATTCAATAAACCAATATTACTAAAATTTTAATTTTTTTTTATTAAATTGTAAAAAATTGGTTGACAAGAATAAAAATACAATAAATTCTTGTTTAATTTTCACATTATATATTTTCTAAATTCCTTCTACTAGCTGACATGTTAAATCCTCCCCACTTTCCCGAGCCGACATTAAAGTATTCAGTCTTCAGATACTAACTCTCACATAACCTTTCCTTAAAAATAATTTAATTAAATAATTTATACTTTGTGATAAAATAAAATACAGCGATAATTTAAAATATTTTTTGTTCAAGTATTAACTTTAATAACTTCCTCTTTTTTAAATAAAATAAATTTATATATAATAGAAACTATTATATACATTTTTACAATTGAATTTAAAAGAAATGGATGAAGGAAGTTCCAAGAATGTATCATTAATATCACACTGTAAATATACTGATCAAATTTTTTCTTCAGAAAATGTAAAAAATGATAATGAACATGATTGGTGGGCAAGTGATAGTGGATCTAGTACTGGATCATATTATTCAGATACAGATAGGTAATTAATTTTTTATCTGTTTTTATATCTTTAGAATATACTGTTATTATATTTGTTATAAATTGTTATAGTTCCACAGCAGAATGGGAATCGGAAATTAATTTTAATGGAGAATTGATTTACATAGAGTCTCTGATAGATAACATAAATGATGAACAATTTTCTTTTGATGAAACAAAACTTGATTCTCAGCCAGAATTGATACGACGTCGTAGTACAAGAACTGGAAAACTTATGCGACTTATAAAACGTAAAGAAAGTAAACGTTTGAGTACAAGAAATAAAAAAACTAATTTCACTACTACAACAAACAATGTTGGAAGTTCAGGAAAGGAAGGGACTGCAATTAAAGAAGTCACTTTTAGAGATTTTCAAGTAAATGATTTTAGTAAAAATTTAAATATTCCTAATGATAATAATGGTATTTTTTGTATAAACATATGTGAATCTTGTAGGCAGGTGAAATCCGGGAAGTTATACTATGGGTTGATCCAGATAGGCGACACAAGTTAGGAAGAAGAGCCACGTTGTGTGAGGCATATTTTGGAATAATTCCAGGTGTTTTTTCAGATAAAACACGTATTATGGTTGCTGGATTTATACCAGATGGAGAAGCAATAAAGAATAAAAATATCAAAATTGGAGATTGGTTACGAAGTGTAAATTCAAATAATATTACATATCAAAATTTGGATCATGTATTATCTGAAATAATTGTATCAACAAATGTAAGTAATTTAGTAAATATTGTAAGTTTATATAATAAGTATCTTATAAAGATATAAAAGTAATTTCCATTTTTTATCAGGTAACATTAGAATTACAAAGAGTTGCAGGTGTGGATGTTACAGCAACATTGTCTGGATTAAATTCTCCTAAAGTAATTATAATTTTAAATAATATGTATAGAATTTATAAAATTAAAAATTGTGATTTTTGTTATTAGCAATCTGTGTTGGTACAAAGACTGATGAATAAAGAGGAAAGTAAAGATTTAATGCAGTCAATAATAGATTATCCACTTGGTGTATTATATTTACAAACTACAGAACTTTCAGAAATGGGACCAGATCTGCAAGGCGTTCTATATGCATTTCCTAGATCAGAAAGTAAAAATATACATTCCATTTTATGCACAGCAAGAGGAGCTTTTATAACCCTCAATCATTTATTACCAGGAATTGGAGGTCTGCAACCTACAAGGTATGATTGGATAGTTTTATTACTCTATATAAATACGTAATTTTTATAATATATATGCAATCACATTTTATAGTACAACTTTTATAGTACAACAATACAGATAGCAGAAGAAGAAATTCATGTTGTATACACACCTCGAAATGATGAATTATTTTTAATGGCATTACCCAAAAAATGGTAAGTTATAATTTATATAACAAGAATAAATAAATATTGATTTACATATAAATTAACTTCAAATTATTTTTAATATTTCCAGTTGTAGTCTTGAAGAAGCTGTTAATTTATCATGTGACATAGTAAGAACATTAGAATTTACATATGAATCACTGACAAAATGTTTTACATTTGAGGAAAATCGGTCTTCTTTAGATCATTTTTTCGTTTTAATTATTGAACGATTGCTAGATATAAAAAGTTATGCAAATAATGCAGGATTAACCATTTCCTATATGGAAATTCATAATAATATCGAAGATATGGAAAATTATAAATTTGCAAGCACGTTTTCAGTTGCAAATTTTATAGAACTATCAAGAGATGCACAAATTCAAATTGATGCAGCTTTAAGTGAAATGGAAGCCATGGATTACAGAGATTGGGTATGTAGTATGTAGTAAAAGAATATAAGAAAGTAAATAATACAAAACAATTTTATGTTTCTAGAATGAAGATCCTATGGACTGTCAAAGGTTGTATACAATTTTAGGTAGTTGTATTTATCATAAAAATTATCTTCTTGGATCTCATTTAACTCACAATGATTTGATTGAAGTGCAATCTTATCTTAGACAAAATTGTATTTTAAATTTAATCAGTAATGAGCCTGTGAAAAGTCTTATCATTTGGAAAAAAGTGTATCCTTCTTCATGCAATCGTAATAATACAGAAAATAATCAATCACTTGTTCTTGATGGAAAATGGTATTTGCTTGTTGTTGGATATGGACATGATTTATTAGTAGTCCTTTTAGAATCTGGCGGATGTACTGCGAAGTAATTTTTTATTATTTTTGATTAACTTATAATCAATTAAATTAATTCATTAATAATTTCAGTCTCTTAAAAATTTTATATAAATATAAAAATATTTTTATAGATGTAGTGAAACTATAGGTCCAGACATATTTTATGTAGAAGAAGCTCAGGAGACTTTGAAACATATACAAAAGATAGGAGTAACAACATTAGCAGCCAAATGGATTGCATCTAATACTAGACCAGAAGTAATAGCTTATGAAGATCCTGTGCCTGTAAAAGCATCATCTAGTATCACAGAAAATCTTCTTGGTCTTATAAAATCAACAGATGTACAAACTTTATCTGTCAAACCACCTCATACTTCAAACATTAACAAAAAGTCTCAAGAAATACCTTCAATTTTAAAAAAACGTAATACAGAAGAATGTCCTATGGTCTTAGAATCAAGTAAATAAAGTTAATTCTTTTTACTATTTTCAATTATGTACAAATATATAATATAAACTTTTAAAATTACAATTTTACCGTTTTCTTAGTATATTCTTTGCATACATCAGAAGATTCATTGAGTCAAGGAACTGGTGGAATTAGTGAAATAAGTGATGAAGCAATGCCTATATTAGGAAGACGAGCAACAAGAGAAAAAATTGTTAGTAGATCAAGATATTCTGATGATAGCGATTCTGATCTTGATATGTATAAGGTAATCAATTTTACTAAAATATTTATGTTGTACTATATTTTGTTATTTTATTAAATTATTTATGTAAAGTATATCGTTGTAGAATGATTGTCAAATATTAAGTGCAGATATATCTAATATAAGAGAAAATTTATTAAATCAAGCTGAATATTTAGTACCAAAAGTATTGACGGTGGGTGACAAGAATTATTTATATCATTATATACATTTGGACATGGTTGAAGGAATTCTTCTATCCTCAAATCCACTAGAACATTTAGGAAAAAACCCTAATTTTCTTATTAACTTTAACAAATGTGTTCATATTATTCATAAATTATTGCATAATACAGTAAGATTTAAAACTATGTTAAACTCAGATATGGACAAAACTGTAATTAATAAGAGTTTAATTGCTGTTAAAGAACATGGAGTGTTATTTGAATGGGAAAATTTAAGTTATTGGGTTGTTGGTCGATTATATACAACTCCTCATCCAAAAGAATTGTATGTATGTTATCAGGATTCTGCACCACAAAATTTAATCGAAATAGCATTCAAATTACATTCGTTATACACATTAACATGATTTTTTGTTTCTATTTTGTAAAATTTCTACAATTCGAAAACAAATTACTGTGTAAAAATCACATCAAATTAAAAATTTTATTAATGTTAAATATTTGGTTGCAAAGAAATAAATTTCTTATTTTTTAGATTTCTTTTATTTGTATTTTTTAGGAAATCTTTAGAAACATATACCATTAAACATTTTTATATAACTATGCAATATTTATGATATTACATATATATATGTAATTATATAATTATATAAAATAAAAATGTTTGATGGTATATATTTCTAAAGATCTCCTAAAAAATACAAATAAAAGAAATCTAAAAAATAAGAAATAGATAGATAATTACATTATATACGTGTTTTCACAAAATATTGTTCATTACATATAACGTTATGTATTATATATATATATTATATATTCTTATATATTATATATTAAAATTCTTATATATTCTTATATATTTTATATTAAAACTCATGACAATTTGGAAAATGTAACAATAATAATTATTACTATATACTAGAATAAGAATAATTCAATTTTTATATACAATTTAAAAAACATTCTTAATAACTTAATGATAAAATATACAAATATTTATAATTATATATTGTACTTTGAATAAAATAAATATTTTGAAAATAGTTTTTTGTATATGTGTTAATCTCTTTACTATTGCGAAATGTTATTACTACAATTAGGAATTTTTACATATACACATGCCCCTGCCATTTTACTGCCATAGTGACCAGCCCAAAATAATTTATCATTACCGCCATGATAAAAACAAATTTTTCTAAGCCCAGGCCCATAATTTTTAAATTCACGTGATACCTAAAATAAAATAATAGGCTTACAATACAGTATTGTTAGTATTGTTACTATACAAACAGATTTATTTATATATAAGATATACCTGATGCCATTGATTTTGTTTTTCCCCTTCAATATTATCACGGAAATCAAAAGAATCTATGACTGTATTATCTTCTCTTAATAATTCAATAGCACATTCATATATAGCTGGACAATCCCAACGACAGCTGTACCATTCACTTACCTATAAACATAAATCATAAATAGTAAATATACATTTTATAAAGAATTTATATGAAATGCAAGCAAAACTTTGTAATACCACTATTACAGGTTGCAAATTGTCTAAAACATATGACGTCAGTCCTTCAACTTCTAGGTCAATTATTTGTGTTTTAGAGCAATTACAGTAAGAAGTAACAAAACAGAATTGTTTCCCTTCGAAAACAAGTTCATTATTTGGCAAAGGTGCAACTCCTATTGGAGGATTCTCTACTTTCCAACGATCACCACCTTGACTAAGAACTTTCCAGTATTTTTGCGTTCCGTATTCTCCAGAATGATTTTTTATTAAATTTCTTTCAAAAGGCTTCTTTTTACATATTAGATAATAAACATGCCAAGGCACTTCTTTATCAAAAAAAAGTGATCGACCGAAAGAAATCTCTGCTTTTTTACGCCAAACATAAGTTTGAATTAAAATTTTCCAACGTTTGCAAACCAATTGACAATTTAACAAAGATTTGTAATCAACGTAACAAAAAATTTCTGCTAATAATTCCTCTGGTAAATATTTCCCACTGATAACTAATCCATTATCACTTTTTTCATCATACCTCACACGAGTAGTCATACTACTATCATGAAATTGTCCCATTTTTATTTACGAGATAAAAGTTGCTATGACAAATGATATACAAACTGTATGACATCAGTTTTTGAAAGAACAATATTTTACAACTTTTTACTTGTATAATTTTGATATTTGAAATATTTTTTTTAATTTAACGATGTAAATAAAATTTAAAGAATTATATATAATTTTTCAAACATGAATTATTTACATAACCTTTCGTGTAATTTAACATTTTTTTATAATAGTATACTTTGTATTTTTTTCAATAATTTGTATTTCAATTGTTTAATAAAACTATCACTCGTATTTATTAATTTTATTTATTTATTTCAACTAAAATGATATAAAAAGTTAAAAATCTACATACTGCATTTGTACAAATTTCAACAGTGATGTCAAATTTAATAGTAATGATTCACTTATGAATCATGATAAGCTACATACAGTAATTTTTGAAAATATTCGTACAACTATAGTACGATTAAATGTATTGATTGGACGATGTATTCTTCTAAATAAGTCATTTGTTAATAAAGATACATAATTTATGTAAGAAATTCACATGCATTGTACAATAATAATCATTGAAGGAAATAATGCTATAACTGCGTGTCCGAATATTTTCGAGACTCACTATATACATAATCGTTTTATTTCATTTGTAATTACATAAAATTATATAATATAAAATAAATTATATCATATAATTAAAGAAATTAAATAAATAAAAAACAGTTAAACATTTTGACTGAAGTAGAAAGATTCAAATTCTTTTACCAAATCATTTGTAATAAAATTTTAAAATTATAAAGATTACTTAAATAAGGATATTAACTGAAATGATTAAAAAGGTATATTACAATAAATGTCGTTTTATTTTGTTTAGAATAATATATTTGATGTCAATGTGCAAATCATTTAATTTAAAATATTCAAAGGAAATAGGTACGTGGCTTCCTAACACTGAAAAGTGGCATACGATTCTTATTATGAATACGTTTTGGCAATGGGAATCTGATTTTTGAATCATGAAATTGTTTAACTTGAGGCCTCCTACAATTTGCCGCTTCTACAACTTCGACTTTAATAATCTGAATTGAATGAGCACGCGCACGATGGCGAGCTCCCATGTCTCTGTAACATTGTGTTACAGCACCACTAACAGACAGATCTCTGTATTCTCTATACATATTATGAGTTCCGGATCTTGAATCATATCTTAGCCAAATGCCAAAGTTCTTGATTTTTATTGGAGATTTCTCTGGTATCTAAAAGACAATGTGTTTAAACATGTGTACATAAATATTTGACAAAAATTTTCATTGACATTTAATACACGTAACAGCATTACCTGCTTCAAAGAAACAATTTCTCCTGTAGATTTCTTAAATTTTTTAAGTTGACGCAAGAAATACCAAAATCTGGATTTCGCAACAATAGCATCAGGCGCAAATATTCTCATTTTATATAATGGTGTGGTCTTTTCTTTTTCGGTCGGCAATTTGCGTCCGATCACCTCGAACTCCTTCAACTATAAAAAAAATATTACAAGTTATTTCTCATTATAAATAATTCTTTATTATTTTAAACATTATCTTAAACAAAATTTGAGTTTGACAAAATATGAAAATTGTTTAAACTTTGTGAACATGTGTTAACGATCATACATGTTAGGTTAAACCATTGTTAATGTATCATTTAACTTCACTTTTGCAATTTTGGATAAACTATCACAACATAAAAAGCATAGTAATTAAAAATGAATTTCCTTAACTAATAAATTTATTAGTTTTTAACAGAAATTTTAAGCATTTTACTTACTTCACCCTTAGCTTTCATTTTGCCGTGCGTGCAACACGATAACAAACCGGAAAAAGACCAAGGCAAACGTTCTGGTTACTCCGGAAACGTAGCCATTTAATTTTCTAGTGAAATATTACGATTTAAACACAGATGAAATATAGATTTAATATCTTACAAAATTTCAAACCATAGTGAGGTAGATCTAAAAAAAAATTTCGGTATTTCTCATTGACAATGTTTTATTGAAAATCTTATATAGTCAAATTAATTTTAATTAAATTTCTTTAACATTTTATTATAAGTAAATGCCTGTTCAACAGCATAAATATCTATATAATATAAATTTGTATACAGAAATAAATTATATTTGTACTATACAGATTTTTGATAGTTTATTCATTTACATTTAATATTTATCAATGAACTCGAATGGAATGTTGGCACAGGAATGTCATCTGATTTATGTCCGAAAGTTGGTATGTTCAATTGATGAAAGACATGTAATATATCCTTAACAAATTGATTCATCATAGATTGAGTGTGTCTTGGAGTTGGAGCAAGTCTTAATTTTTCTTTTCCCTTTGGAACAGTTGGATAATTGATTGCTTGAACATAATGCCCCTTATCTCTTATTAATAAATCGGCTAATTGACTACACAATAATGGATCACCAATCTGAAAGACAATTTCAATTAAATGTAATAATACTAATAATTGTAAATGTAATAATACTAATAACGTGCAGAAAACCTAATGAAAAAAGAATTTACTTTTATCGGTATAATGTGAGAAGGTGATTGCTCTAATGGAAGACCTGCAGTTGTCAAAACAGATTTCATATAAGCTACGTTTTTTTGATGGCTAGTCCTTAATGATCTTCCTTCGTCTGAAGCTAAAATTTCAATCGCTGTTAAGGCACCATATAATACTGTTGGTGGCAATGAAGTTGTAAAAATAAAGCCTGCAGCATAACTTCGTATCATATCTATTAATTTAGCAGATCCAACAATGTAGCCACCCACATTTCCAAAAGCTTTCCCCAGAGTGCCAGATATAATATCCATTTTATGGAGCACGTGATCTCTTTCTCCAATACCAGCTCCCGAATATCCATACAATCCAACAGCATGAACTTCATCAACAAATGTTAAAGCATTATATTTATGTGCAACATCACATAAATCTTCTAAGGGACATATATCACCAGTCATAGAATGTACTGTTTCAAATGCTACAATTTTTGGCACACTTTTGTCTACTTTGGAAAGTAATTCTTCAAGATGTTTTACATCATTGTGCCTGAAAATATGCTTTGGTACTCCGCTGTTTCTTATACCTTGAATCATAGACGCATGATTTCCAGCATCAGAGAAAATATGACAATGTGGCAGAAGTTTTGCCAAAGTATATAAAGTTGAGTCATTAGCGACAAAACAAGAAGTGAATAATAAGCCGGCTTCTTTTTGGTGTAAAGAAGCAAGTCTTTTTTCTAATATCTCGTGCCCCATAGAATTTCCAGATATATTTCTGGTTCCTCCTGCTCCTGCACCAAATTTGCTCAATGCTTCTCGAACAGAATCTGTTACTGCTGGATGTCGTGACATTCCTAAATAATCATTAGAACACCAAACAGTAATTGGTTTTTCTCCCCAGGAGTACTCTAATCCAGTTGGAAAACTCTCTGCTAAGCGATTAACCTTTTTAAATACTCTGTAAGAATGATCTTTCTTTTTTTTCATAATTTGTTCATGGAAAAATTTTTCATATGGGAAACCACATCTTTCTTTTGATTCTGAAGCCGATACGTTAATAATATCCTTCTCAACCATAGGACTAGCTATTTTCACAGCATTTTGTTCTTTAGCAAGAAATGGACACTGACTGTTTATAGCTTTTTCAACTTGTTCGCCAGTCTCGTTAGTATCTACTTGAGTACTAAAAAACTGAGACATCACTGGACAAAACTGGTACAGTTGATAGTTCATAATTACGGATGTTCCATAATTACGAATATAATTCGCAGAAAGATGTGTCAAAAATGGACAAGGCATGTTTTTTAAATTACCTAAAACATAAAATCGAAATGAAACAACGATTATATATATGTATATGATATATATATACATCAATTATATATATATGATAATATAATCATATATATAATGTATTATATACATTATGTATTTTATATATCATAAAATTATGTAATAAACGTGATTATTTAATCAGTAAAGATTGAATAATCTATTTCGTTTTAAGGAAGCAAATATCGAGGTCAATCGTATAAAAGTGTAAAGTTAAGAAACTACAAGTCACGACGATACGATGTTTAAGAAGTTAAAAATCTGTTACCTGTTACAGCACTAGATAAATGGTACACGTAATGATTGACGTAATGGATATATTGACGAACAATCTGTAATATGAAGAAATAGATATCTTTTAATATCAAGGTAAAAGAAACTTGAATATTGTGATTGATAGTCAAATGAACTTAATTCAAAATCAGACTGCACTTTCTACGAACAACCGATCGCAATGACAGGTAGGTCACAACTGATTATGAAGCTTCCCGAAGTTCGCTTGCGAACAGTCTTAAAAAGATTGAGTCCAATCAAGAGGTCGAATCAATAAAAATCAAACGTCAAATTTATTTAAGTTTCTTCTTCCATTTGGTCTCCAGTTTACTCGTATCAAGTATTCAAATTTTTGATAGAAATACATTTTTGGTATAGAATATTCATTTAGAGACATAAACAATATTAAATTTTATTGCAACAATGTCGCGAACGCTTACCATGGTATTAGAAGATATTTTTAGATGTTTGTAACGTTAACTCAACAAAAAAATTAATAAGACTTCGCGTCTTTCTAGTATTTTGTTACGCAAGTTAACAAAACGTTTTTGCAACTAATCGAATTATACTTTTGTTGAATGTAATATTCAAGTACCCCCATTCTGGCTACATTGGGCTTTCCTTTATTTTGCAAATTCATGTCCATGCTAAACAACCAATGGCTATCGTTTAAAGAGTTAAAATTCAATTTACATTCAATAGATTCGTACGTTAAAATATGTTCTATTGTGTATGTATCATATGCATACACATATTTCACATAAATTGTTGAATTCAAACAGTAGAATAACAGTACGGGTCATTTTACTACCAAGAACATATGGTAAAAGTAAAACATTTGTTGCTTTTCTAATGTTATTTTACTCTGATTTTCAATATATTTTTATCATCGAACATAATAACAGATTGTTTTAATTGCATTAAGAATTACTTCTTATTTTATTTTTATTTTACTAGAAATCTTAATTATTAGATTTTGGTGTATTATTAATTGCTAACATGATATCATTATGTAAATGATTTAAATAAATAATGTTTCATAATAGCAAAATATCTGTTAAATATTCTGCAAATATCGCGTATTATAGTAATTAATAATCCAAACTACGCAATGCAATTTATTCTCAATTCTCTGTAATCATTTTCTCACATTCTTTATAAAATAATATGTTTTGACAAATAACTTATACTGATAAAAGAAATACTGATTTATGATGAATATTGCAAGTATATAATGAAATATTACAAGTATAATATTATGTAATTTGGGACACGCTTCTATTATTACTATTCTTTTTAAATTTTCTTCGAAATTTATACATGCAACTGAGAAAAAAATGTTTGTTACTTGCAATTAACTTTTGATAGTTCGATAGTTCAATTGAATGAATAAATAAGCTCATTGAAATTGGATGAATATTTAAAATCAATATGTATTTTGTTTTATCCTTTATAAAAAAATTATGTATTGCTAAATTATATAATATAATAAATATAGTACATATACATGCATAAAATTGTTCTACGTTTTATTACTTTCTATCAGATATGTATTTTTACTAAATTATTTTTATTCAAAATTTATATATGTCAATAAAAAAAATTTATTTCAATCTGCCTTTGTTTTTCTTTTTTTTAAATATTCTCCAAAATGCCGCGAA